TTCCACGGTCAATCATAGGCTTAAATAGAAAAGATATTCGGCAATCGGAATTAAAAAAATTGGAGAGGGTTAATTAAATACCAGTTTTATTTACAAAACTGTTTGAAAAAATTAGAATTTACTAAAACCGGTTTATAAATATGTGCATTAAATATCTTTTAAAATAATGCCATTTTTTTATACTGTATATATAGTTCATTGAGTCATGTAAGAACGCGTAAAGCACGCGAATTAATATACCCGATAAAACCGGCAGCACATTAGAATTTAAGTAATAGTTGTAACATGTTGAATGACTCTCATTTCTGTTTTTTTTTTATATCAAAAAAAAAATGTTAGTGAATAGTTTTTACTATATTTTATACCCTGACTTCAATGCTGATGAAATGTTTGATCTTGGCGACTGCTATCAATGATGGATATTATTAGATAATTAGTATTCAATATGGCAATTTGTAAAAAAAAAAAAACAAGAAATTTTGTTGATTTCGGGTGTCATCTGCTGATTACAGTAATTTGAAAAGCGCAGTAAATATAAATTAAAAGCCTCAATCCTGAAGTAACGTTCGGGTCTAGGGCTAGTATAATAATGTCGCTGATTTCAAGTTGAAGTTTAATTTTGATTTGTAGAGTTCTTTCCAGAAAAATCATTATATAATATGTGAAAAAATTAGAAAGTTTGATTTCTGAAATATCTTCAATGAAAATAGTAAGATTAATACATACATTTTCGATAGCGAAATTAATATCAAACAACTCATCTTCAGTGATGCACGAAATAAATGAGCTCACATATTTGGTAATAGAAAGACTTTTGTTCTCTTGAGAACCTGGGTGTTCCTTTTGAAATTCATCTGCTTCTTCAAGCTTCTTAATGACATCAGGTTTCCCTTTTAAGTCAATAACCTCAATATATAGGTCAAATGCATCTGGACGTAACTTAGGATTATTGGCCCAACATCGCTCCATCATTTCTATCCAACACTCTGGGGTGCCTTCAATAATAGGTGGGCGCAATCCTTTGCAAATTTCATATATCAAGAAAACGTTGTGATTACGGTCACAGAAAGGTATCGTACCAGCTGATATTTCCCACATAATGATTCCAATGGCATACATATCACTTGCAAAAGAATGCGATTCGCTTATAAACAACTCTGGAGCCATATAGGGAATGCATCCATATACTTCATTCCGTGTAGCATTTTTATGCATGCTTATGGAACTCAGTCCAAGATCTGAGATAAATGGCTTATTGTCTCTGATAAGAATATTCCCACTATGCAAGTCACCATGAATAATTCCTTCTTTATGTAATGAAGAAAGCTGTTCTAATAAACGGTAAAAAAATTCAAGCCGGAAATCCCAGGATAAGTTTTTATTTCCTTGTAAAAATTTACGCAGATCTCCACTGGGAAAATAGTCCATTACAATAGCATATGAATCTAAGTGCTTAGTTATCCCATGAGTATAATTCACAAAACGGAACTTTGATAAATTTGCCATCTTGAGGATACAGAGAGGTTATCGTTATAATTACATATTATTCAAACTATTTAGATAAAATTTTATCTTACCTCATTGAGGGCCTTTGAAGTATTATTATTTGTAAAATTAATGGTTTTAAGTGCGACTAGCTTTGCTTCTTTGTCCTTATAATCATTATCATGCCATGTCGCCGTGTAAACGGTCGAAAGCCCACCATCAGCAAGATGTGCTATGTTTGATAATTGATTTGGTTCTATCCATTTCCATTCCCCACCTGACGTTTTAATGACTATGTCAACTTGTCTGTTACCACTCGTCCATCTTTTATTATGAGAAAGTTTTTTGCTATACTTATTTTCACGCCTTTTCTTGAGATTAAATGCAAAATTTGGATCGTGTCTTGTCGAATATTGTAATAAACCAAGATGGTCAAGTGCTTCGGAATTCTCCGGATCGATTGTTAAAACTTCTTCAAAACCATATTGCGCTTGGTTGAAGTTTTTTTGTCTGAGTTGTAAACAACCACGAAGTAGAATTATATCTAAATTGTATGAATCAACTTCTAGAGCCTTGTTAAAATCTGCCAATGCTTGCTCAAAGTTATGGAGTTTATAATGAATTTTACCACGATTTTTAAGCGCAAACACATTATTATGATTGTTTTCTAATGCTTTATTGAAATCTTTCAATGCCTCGTTGTAATTTTTAAGCTTTTTATGTATTTCACCACGTTTTTCAAGAGTAAATGAACAATTTGGATTAATCTCTAGAATTTTGTTAAGCTGAAGTAGTTCCTGATTGTAATCCCCATTAATTTCTTCTTCTCTGTCAAGTGAACATCCATTATTTAGACCTTCAAAATCACCATTCAATAGTTTATCTAAAGAAGCTTTACATTGTATTTTACCAAGAAGCTCAAGAGAATCTATATCCCCTGGATCATCCTTCAAAATTTTATGAAGTTCATCCGCCGCTCGGTCATAGTCATTAAGTTTACCATACAAAATGCTGCGTTGTTGGCACGCGAATGCATTTTTTGGGTCAATTTCTAATGCCTTATCGAAATCACTTAGTGCTCTATTATAGTTATTAAGTTTTATATTATCAAAAATTAAATTATTAAAATCATCATTATAATCATTTTGAAGATAATTGAATAAATAAATTATTTCATCTACTTTTAATGAGTTGTCATTGCAAATCTGTTGACTTAAAAATAATTTTGATTTATCTAATGTGGATGGACTTCTTTTTACACATAAAATAACTGCAATTTTAAGCCGTGCAAGAAAAAAGGCATTCTCAGCTTCATTAAGATTGGCAATTCCATTTGCAAACTTATTGAAAAATTCTAATACTTGTTGATTATTTAAAAAATTTTCCTTGGAAAATATTCTACAAAAAATATCCCATATGAAATTAATTCTTTTCTTATCATGTCTATCATCATAAATCTGTTGATTTAAAACGATATTACTTGCCATAGTGCTAGTAACTTTTTTGAATAGAGCAAATACGATATGAAGCCTTGCAAGAAGAAGAGCATTCTCGGCATTGTTAAAATTGACAATTCCATTCGCAAATTGGACGAGAAAATCAAAAGCCTGTTGATCGGTTGAAAAAGTTTTTTTAGAGAACATTTTAATTATAAGATTCCAAATATGATCCATTTTAAATTTATCAACCCCATTAAATGACAAATAATTATCTTCAGCATTTTGCAATCGTTCAAGTAAATGGACAATCTCAGACGCATTAAGCAAATCATTTTTATATATGGCTTGTATCATAAATTCATTTATTTTTTGTCGCGTTGAAAACGAATTTTCAGTCAAAAAACTAATGTTTTCATCCCAAATTATGTTTATCTTCTTTAAATCAACATCCATTGCCAAAAATAAATCATCATAATCTTTCAGTTCATCAATAAAATAGGAGACCTCATATTCATTTAAACTTCTAATTTCATTTGAAAAATATTCCGATAACCATTGATTTATTGCTTTTTTACATGATTCGAGAACTAGTGTCCATTTTGTATTTGTCAAAATTTGATCAACGTTTTCATTACCTGAACTGATGGATATTCGTAGAGATTTATTTTCATTTAACAGTTTACAATCATTTTTAAATACTTTGTCACAATTATTATGGTCTCTGTATAAAATGCCACGTTTTAAAAGTGCAGATACTTTCTTTGGATTGATTTCCAAAGTTTTGTTAAGATCGTCTAGTGCTTGATCATAATTTTTTAGTATTATATGCACATCTGCGCGAAGTTCAAGTGACCATATACTCTTGGGCCTGATCGTCAAAGAATTGTCAAGGTCAATCAATGCTTGGTCGTAGTTACCAAGTGTAAAATATATTAAACCTCGAAGATAAAGTGCAAGATCGAACTCAGGATCAAGGCTCAAAGCCGTGTCAAGATCGATCAATGCTTGGTCATAATTTTTTTTCTCATAGTTCTGAAAGGCGCAATTTAAAAATGAAATTGGTCTTCCTGAACTAGTATCAAGATCAAGACATTTTGGTATTGCACCAGCCTTGTAAAGATCAGCCAATCCTTCAGAATTATTAAAAGATAGAAGTATGCGACCACGATATTCAAGTGCTATTGAACTAAATGGACCCTTCGGTTCGATCTCTAATACCTTGTTGAAATTAGCCAATGATTCTTCGTAATTCTTGAGACCATATAACACTATACCACGAAGTGAAAGTACTGCTGCACTATTTGCAATATTGAATGAGTTGAGTTTGTTAATATCAGCTAGTGCTTTGTCCAAATTTCTGAGTTCATAATGTGTCACAGATCGAAGATAAATTGCACGTCCATTATATTTGTCAAGTTCCAATACCCTATTAAGATCAATTAGTGCTTGATTATGGTTTTTGAGTTCGGAATATAAACAAGAACGGTCTAAAAGAGCAGAATCACTAATTGGGTCAATTTCTAATGACCTGTTGAGATCAGCCAATGCTTGGTTGTAGTTTTTAAGCACCTTATGTAGTGAACTACGAACTCTAAGCGCAATTATGTCTTCTTGGTATGCTTCTGTAAGATCAAATAAGTTAATCCAAGATTGTGAAACAGAGCTGACTGGTGTAGTTTTAAAAGAAATAGATTCTGTAACAGCCTTGTCAAGATCAGCCAATGCACGATGGTAGTCTCCGAGATTACTATACAATATTCCACGAATTACAAGTGTACTTGAATCCTTGGAATTGATCCCCAAAGCCCTGTTAAGATCTACTAGTCCCTGATCATAATTACCGAGAACTCTATGTATTTCACCACGAAGTTTAAAAGCATGTAAACTCTCTGGACCAATCTCCAATGCTTTATTAACATTAATTAGTGCTTCATTATAGTCTTTAAGTGCATAATATATCATACTACGATTTTCAAATGAAGTCGCACTATTCAAACCGATATCTAGAGTCCACAAAATATTCATAAGTGTATCACATCTTAGAGCATTTCCATTATAGTAGTGTCCAGACTTATAAATCATATCATATTTAGCTACTGTCCTTTCCACTATCATTTCCATAAGTATACCCTCGCGTATCGCTAATTCACTGTAGTAATAGCACCGTGGAGTAAATTTAATGATGTTGCGACCTCCTGGAGGAGATTCAAGCATTGCCTTAACCTTGCCATCTAGTAATGCTTTAAAATATTTTTCATAAAGAGGCATTTATATATATCGTTAAGGTTATTACAAAGGAACTACTTCTCATTAAATACTAGTAGTTTGTCCGAGAAGTTGTTTCAATAATCCTTAGTGCCTTGTTAATAGAAAAGGGAAAGGGAAAACTTCACAAGTTTCGTCTTTTAATATTATAGCTTTCCTGTGAGAAATTTAAAAAAAAAAGGATAAATAATATGTCGAGGTCTCTAACGAATTATCAAAATATAAATATAACAAATTTACTGTTTATACGTTGTATCATTTTGCAAGAGTCAGATTAAAAATTTCTTATAAATTATGTTTTTTTGTGAGTGGTTTAGACCACTTCTCCAGTGTAACTGTTTGTATATAGTGTAAACTTACATTATGGCTTACACAATATATAATATTACTCGCAAAAATCATATTGTAAATTATGGAATATCTATAGTTTTTATAATTCTAATTGGGTACAAAAAGATATTGGTTATTTTGCATCAAATTGCAAATTAAATATTTGGAGTATGGTGTTACAATTCATCATATTGAATTCCATATATAGTTAGCTTCTATTTCTTCATAATCACATTGTTCATGATGTAAGTTGTAAAGGCAATCATGACGCGTAGGGAGGAAGGAGAAAAAGTACATATGGATGAAAGATGTTATTAAATATAAACAAAAAGCTCCGAGAAGAACGTTCTTTTGGTATAAACTATACTTGTGACCCGAAACCTTTTTGCTCAAATCCGAAAGTTTCGGGTTTCGTATAATGATGCCTCTCGAAACTCAAAACTTTCGAGAGCATCGATATCGAAACTGTCTCGAAACTAGTTTCGACAAAATTTTATTTTCGAAACTTCTCGGAACTCGAAACTCATATCGGAACTTGAAACTTGTATCGGAACTCGAAACTCGTATCGGAACTCGAAACTCTGGAACTCAAAACTCGTATCGAAATTCGAAAGCCATCGAAATTCGAAAAATTCGAAATTCATACCCTATAAAAAATTTTTTCCGAATATTTCCTGAAAACTCCGTGAATTTGCAACATGATCGACAAAGCTGAATAATCTCCATGATTTAAGGTTATAAATTTGGTGAATATGCAACATGATTGACAAAGCTGAATAATCTCCATGATTTAAGGTTATAAATTTGGTGAATATGCAACATTTATGGAAAAAACATGGAATATAAAATACGGATCGACTTTTTTTATAGGGATATCTAAAGTCGAAAGTCTTATTAAAATTTGAAAGGAATGTTTTAATAATAATGAAATACTTTATCAAAGTAAGGCCGTTTGAATTTAAAGATTCGTTTAACGTTCTTTTTTTCATATTTCTTGAGGGGGAGGGGAAAAATTAAACAAACACTAAAATTAAACAGACCCAAATTAGGTTCAAATTAGGTTCAAATGTACCTGATTTTTTGGGTTCATTTATACCCGGTTTTTTTTTTTTTTGTGATTTTTTATACCCGTTTTCTATTGGCTTGTTTAATGTTGGGGGAGCTCCAGTGGTAGAGGGGGGAGAACGTTAAACAAACTTTTAAATTCAAACGGCCTAACTAAATGTTTGAATAAAAATGAAATACTTTATCGAAGTAAATATTTTTTAAAGTTAACAAGGCACTTGAAATATTCTAAGGGAGTTTTATAATAATATTAAATATATAGTTTAATATTTATGCTGTATATTAAAAACCTATATTAGAATGAGAATAGTTAGTAGTAGCATTATACTATAGTTTTATTTAATTTTTTTTTATGTTTATATATAAATTATTTTTTACATTTATTAACTTAATAGTTTATTAAATAAACTATTAAAGCAAAAGTAGATAATAATTTATATATGATTATAAAACGGTACTCAGGTTTGTTTTTGTCTGAATTAGTATGATTAGAAATGCTAGGGAGTGATTTTCAAGGTAAAGAGCCCAACTAACCTTAAATACTTAAATTAATAAGTGCTCTTTATGCTCATTATCATAACTTATATAAAATAAAATTAGGTAGTAAATATTTATGAATTTGAATTGCTTATTTTAAATACACATACTTAGATTAATAGATGTTTTTATACTTACATGCTAATTGTCATGAATACAGTCAAACCTCTCTATAGTCACACTCTTGGGATACAGAAAATGGTAATTATATAAAGGTGTGACTATTATAGAGATCCCTTTATATAATCACAACTATATTAAAAAATTAAAATAATGATTATATAGAGGTATTATTTAAAATAAAAAAAATTTAAAACCTAATTTTAATTAATCGATAATAATAGCTACATATCTAAGTTGAAATTTTAATAAATAAATTGATATTAGTGTCTTAAGTAAAGTTGTTTAGAAGAATAAAATACAAATACTATGAAATTTTCATGTAATTTGATTAATGTTTTATTAATTAACTTTTGCACCTTATGCTTTTGCAATCAAAAATTACTTTTGTTTGCCAATATGTAAAGTGCAAAGGTGGATTAATAAAAGGTTATCAAAATTATATGAAAATTTCATAGTATATATATTTTATTCTCAAGACACCAATATCGATTTACTTATTAAAATTTCAACTCATCTATATAGCTACGATCATTGATTAATTAAAATTAATTTTTAATTTTTATTTAAAAACTAGTTTTAATCAATCAATAATTGTAGTTACATAGAAAAGTCGAAATTTTAATACGTAAATCGATATTGGCGTCTTAAGTAAAGTTTTTCAGGAGAATAATATATATATACTGTGAAATTTTTATGTAATTTAGATAACCTTTTATTAATCCACTTTTGCATTTTACTTATTGGTAAACAAAAAGTAATTTTTGGTCATAGAAGTGTAAATTGCAAAAGTGAATTAGTAAAAGGTTGTCCAAATTACATAAAGATTTCACAGTATATGTATTTTAATCTCCCAAACAAGTTTACTTAAGATGGCAATATCGATTTACTTATTAAACTTTGACTTATATATGTAGCTATGATTATCGATTAATTAAAACTAGTTTTTATAAAACATTT